CATGTTGATTTTTTTCAGTTGAAAGCCGACGTCGATCCAGAAAGCTGAAAGTCTCGGCACTTATAACTTCTAACGACAAACTGCTGCCGCGGTTTGACGTCATTAACCATGATGGATGCTTTCTTTTTACTTCCGTCAGTATATCACTGGCTTCTTTCAGTTCTGATAAATAAATTTCGAGACGTGACGTTGATGTAGTAAGATGTGAACTAATCGCAGATCCGAATCAGAGGTTGAACTGTACATCAATGTGTTTAGTAGCGTTGCAGCGGAACATCGGTTGTATTTAATGACGATGCATAGGGAATATTCGAGAATCTAGAAACTACTTCCTTTATGTGGTTTCAGTTCGTAGGGAAGTAAGACTGAGTATTGTCGTAACGATGTGTCATTGACACGTTTTGGAGTGCTGCCAGCAGATTTGGTTTTACTTGAAGTGCAATTCGGCATCTATGGTTGACATTTTTGACCGTCGGCTTGATAAATTGAGAAAAGCAAGATTTGTTTTTTTTTTGTTTTTGTTTGTTTTTGTTTGTTTTTGTTTGTTTGCTTGTTTGTTTTTTTTTTACCATAACGCCATTATAAGTCGCAAACTTTGCTTATTTTTCTATTATTTTTATTATTCCGCAATACTTCTTTCGGCATTCCCGCTTGAATCCGAAAGCACTAAAGACAATAACAAAGTTACATGTTCACAACTGATATGGATTATTTTTCAGTATAGAGCTACTAACTGGTATAGTCAATATATTTCTATCGCCGGTTGGTGGGCTTAACATTTGTAATTTTTTTCGACAAATAAAACAATTTTGGCAATTTTTTCGACCTTGTCTTCAACTCATTTGAACTAGGGAGTATAGTGAAGGAATAACTCATACAATGATGAAGCGCCTATTCCAGAGTAGTTCTCTATCTATGCTTAATGATGTATTTAGTATATCATTATTTTGTAATAATTGTGATGTTAACTGACCCTTAAGTTAAAACTTGAGAAGTTTTTTTTGTGCTCTGGTCTTTGCTACTTAACGTTTGCACGATCCAAAGTTCTACGCACATTGTCCTCAGAGAGAATACACCTTTTTTATCCAAGTGTAAATACCATCACCTACATTGCCTGTAAAATCTCAGGGCCTACACATTGATACATCTTCTTAGGTTACTTTGTTAAGTGATACCTCTGAAGGAATCAAAACCTTTTTCTCTCGCAGTAAAGTGGATGCAACTGCTCCTATAAACGTATACTTGTCTTTGTTGCGCAACAGCTTTAAACCCATCCCCTTGGCTTCTTTCTTTAGTTCTTCAAGGCGTATTTCATTACTACTGTTTTTTCCAAGCCACACCAGGATTATAGCAGTGGCTGACATCAAGTTCAGATCTGAAAAGGACCACAGCAATAAACTCAGTTTTAGGCGATTTTAAGCCTCTTTTTTGACTGATGCAATACATTATTACACAACTGATACAGCTGAGAGGGCCAATAACTAATCAGAACATCTTGTTGCTGGTCCAGTATTTTCTAGTGTAAGTATTGGACTAGCTAATGTTTCTACAGCTCTTTTTCATTCAACAAGTGTAATAGACCTCTCATTAACCAAGATTTCTTGGGACCATACAGGGAGAATATTGGCCCTGGTTTTTTTCTCTACGGACCACACTGTACTCAATCTATACTGTCAAGATCAATCGATTAATCAATCTTTATTTGCACCTGGAGTATTTTTATTTACAAGAGTGTGCATAGTATACCTAGGGTCAGTATGCTAGTGCAGCCCTTGTGCTTAGTTGATAGCAGTTGTTCATAACTGAAGTAGATAGCCTGTAAAAATTTCACTATAATAATGTACATTATTATACAATGCTTTTATAATAATACTAATAATAAAAATAAGATATGTGTATCATAATAGTAATTGTATAGAATTAATGAATGATGGGACAAGCAATGATTGACTTACCATCATTAAAGTAGCCTTCATAGCTTGTTACTTTTTCACGTTGTGTTGAGTCTTGAGTCCTGATCACTGTGTGAACTTAATGGATCGTTTCCCTTGCGTCGTCTTTCTTGCATCCACTTGCGGATAATTTCTTCTATAGCCTTTTTTCCTAAGCCACCTTTCGGGAAGTCGTAACTTTCTTGATCACCAAGTTGATCTGTTACTTCCATGAGTTTCTTTGAATTTTCTGCATTGTTTCTGAACCATGGCGTTGGTTTATCAAGTGGCCAGATTGTTTTAGCGGAAGCGATGATCTTCTTCTTTCTGAGTATAAATAGATAATAAAACAATTAGCATTAAGCATTAAACCAGAAATCCAACTTTATGGTTGTATTCTGTGATACACGCTCTAACCTGTGATGGCAGCTATTTTCCAGCACTTCAGTTAAGAAAAAGAAAGTGGCATACATGCTCACATAACCTGACACAAACACAAGAGGGAATTTGGGAGCATTCAAAACCTATATCAACCCTAAGAGGAAGGCAGGCTGAAGCTCAGTTCAATCATAACATATGCAGGCCAATAAACTTACCTGGTATTGTAAATACTACGGTCTGCAGAATTCAATGAATCCTTCTCTTTGTTGGTTAGTACCCAGTCAATTTCTTCAAAGTTGTTTGCACACTCCTCCAGCTTCGGTTTTTTGCTCACATTGTTAACAAGTTTGCCTAAAGCAGCAATAAAGGAAATTGTATTTCATAACAGTCGGTGGATTCTTATACAACCCCTTTTTAAAGAGCTGTGTCACTATATTTTACGTCATTTTTGCGAAATGCAAAATCACCTTGAAATTGAAGAAAACCCAAGAATAATAGTTTACCATTAAACTAGATAGAAAAACAAGAAAACAAACAGGAACATGGATGGGCGAGATGGAGAAGAATAAAGATGGATCGTGACCGGCGAACTTGAATAAATGGCAAATTCTTTCAAGATGCGCCATTGCTTACCCGAAATCAAAATGGCAACCAAAAAGAGCTAAGGGCTTTTAATTTTCCTTCGTTTAGCCGGGCTTTACAAACAGAAAAGCACGAAGCCCATCAATGTATAAGCTTACGTATGCGTATCACAAGTTCTGATATCAGTGCCGTTTCATGCCACTGAATGAAAATGGCGGGAATTTAATAGCTTCCAAATTTTGGTCGTTTTCGAAAGAAATCATTAAGTCAAACAATAGCTAAAATACCTCGAAACTTTGCCACAGATGTAGTAAACTTATCCTTTTTTCCAATGGTACTGAGAGCTAGGACTTCCATCGAATTGTCTTTTAATATTCGTTCAGACTGCAGCAGCGTCTGGCCGTCAATTTCCTGTCCTTTGAACCTCTCTCCTATTTCAGCATTATTGACTCCTTCTACTGTCCATTCTAAAGGATATAATCGATAAACCAACATTTTCTTATTTAAATGCAGTCTAAAATACAGCAGTGTTCATAAACGAATGTACCATGGAAGGCACTGATTACAGAAGTGAACTACCCTGCTTCAACTGTGGGAGGTTTTTTCTATGTAAAACATTCCAATTTTGATGCCAACCACCTCTGGGTAAGAGAAAGGCCACAAAGGAAGGAGGCTATCCATTTCAACAGCCTTTTGTCCATTGTGGATGGCGAATGGGTGGGTAATGCTTGGAGAGACGACTTGAGGACGTTCCTGCCCATTTTTTTTTTATCTTATCCAAGCTTGGATTTAGCAGAAAGCCGGCGGGGTTAAGCACAATATCCCGATTTGTTTTCTTGCAAAGCAGGATATCTAAAAACCCATATTTAACAACCAAACCTGGATAATAAAGAATACACATTATAAAGTTCTACTCTTGTTTCTGATCTTATCCAAGTTTGGATTTAGTACAAAGTTAGCAGGGGTTTGCACAATATCCAGATTTGTTTTCTTGTAAAGTAGGATGTCTAAAAACCCATAGTTAATCACCAAACCTGGATAATAAAGAAAACATATTATAAAGTTCTACTCTTGTTTTTTATCTTATCCAAGTTTGGATTTATTAAAAAGCCAGCAGGGGTTTGCACAATATCCAGATTTGTTTTCTTGTAAAGCAAGATATCTAAAAACTCATACTTTATCACCAAACCTGGATAATAAAGACATTAGAAGATATATTTTCCTGTGGCACTCTACGATTGTTATATTCGAGAATTGTCGATTTATTTATTTTCATTCATTAATCAAATCGGCTTTTCTTCCCTGTAAAGGGCTATTTCGTTTATATGATAGACAAAATAATATATGGTTGCTTGTGTTCAACTCGACATCTCGCTCTCACTGAAAATTACGACCATTGTTGTTTTTGTAATCATGATTCAATGCATTTTTCCATATTAAGAGTTAGCGCCAACGCACTTTACGATTGTTCTTCGGAGATTGTCGATTCATTTATTGTCATTCATCAGTGAAGTCGGCTTTTCTTCTCAGTAAAGGACTATTGTGTTTATACGATAAACAAAATAATAACGAAATCAGTCTAATCAAAAATGTATTAACTAAAGTATACTATAGCCCTGTAACTCCAACTGGGAACAAACAAAAATAGTATGCTGAAGTACTAGAACCAATCTAACAACCCCATCCAACAAGCTCCAGCTGTGAGATAATCATCTTGCGAAAAAAGAGTGTTCGCGAAATTATTAGAGAGAAGGACCTTCCCTTATGTATTAAACCTAGAAATGGATAACTCGCTGAAATGGGTTCTCGTCACTTGGTAAGCGGTCAGATAACAAGGAATGCACTGTGAAAATAAGGTGAGGTATTTTTATCAAGAATCTGTGTACCCATCCTGCTGCGAAGAAAGTCTTGCTTTGATTTGAAAGATTAACAATAAGGTAAATCTGTGTTCTGAGACCTGGAAAATGATTTATCTTAAATCCATGATAATAAGAAAAAAAGTAAAAAGAAATCCGACGTTGTCATCTCGAAAATTTGTTACCTCACATACTAGGGTTCCAGTCAGAGTCCGAGTAATCTTCACTTAAATTACTTTCTGCATCGATCTCACTCGTCATCGGCAGATGTTTCCTCTCCCGCAAGTTCAGATTCTTCACTTTTTTTGTCAGGCACATTTGTATCTGATCGGAACATTTCTTCAAGCTCTTTGAGGGGATGATTAATTCCCGTGCCAAGCTCCTCCTTCCTTTTCTTCGAGATATCCAAAGTGGTCTTGTTGATCTTGTCGATTGCTTTCCTCCTTTCTTGGAGTCTTCTCGTGTGGCAGCGGAACTTTTCCTTTGCAATTAAGACATCTTTAAATTTGCACGTCTTATTATCGCCATGCTCCAACAATTTTACCAACCTTGCGATGACGCTGCCAATCGGAAGGACGTCAAATTCTTTCTTCTCTTCGCTCGTCTTGTCCACCGTAGCAAGGCGTCGAACTATTTCAAAAAGCATAATCATGTAGGCATCAATTTTGGCTTGTTGAAGATCGTCAGTTACCCCTGAGTTATTCTGAAATAAGTTCCTGATAGCCTGTGCAGATGATTATGGGTTTTCCTCATAATGTGCCTGCAAGACTCTGTGCAACTCAAGTGTCCAATATAAAAAGCAACATTGATTTCAAGGCAACTCAAGAATTTTACCTTGATCTCAAGTCAACCTTGATCTCAATAAAAACAGTTCTGACACAAAACAACATTGATTTTAAGGCAACTCAAGATTTTTACCTTGATTTTTCTCCTTGATTGGTGAAATATTTTTTTAAATTTCGTTCATATTATTAAAATGGATAGAAATTTAATTCCAATAAGCGCAAAACAATTCAGAGAAGTTTCTAAAGGCTGTGGAGTAAAATACAGAAACAAGATTCCAAGCAAAGAATTGAAAGCGATGCTCGGCTATCGTCCTTTGAGCAAGAGACGGAAGGTCGAAGTGAGCCTTGAAACGGGGTTTTGAAAAACATATGACACAACAATGGAGGCGGTAAAAGATTTTAAAAATTCACATTCTTCCGCTATTAAATATGTCATTGATCATGAGAGACCCTTCATCAAGAGGAGAATGGACAAAAAAAAATTCTGGGTGAGAGAAATTCTAAAATAGATATTAAAAATGTTCTTTATCGAGCGTCACTTGCGCATTGAACTTGCTCAGGTCCGCATTTGGATATCGTGTTTTGAAGTGGTTCCAAGCTTTTGTCCTTGCTTTATCTGGAATTTTATTCGCTTCATCTGATCTTAGCTACGCAAAAATTTTTATTGCTTTTATAATGAAAATGCTTGTTTTGACAATTATTGCCGATTCAAATTATCACGCAGTTCGCTTCAGAGAACCTCTCGGTAAAATCAAGCTATATCAGACTTGTTCTCTCTATAATTCATGGTATAATTTGAAGAGTAGAGGAGAAATATCTATCTTTGATTGACAAAACAATGCAAGTATTGAAATAATTCCTCCAGGAAAATGCACCCTTGAGAGCCTTGCGAAAGCCCTCTGGAAAGTATTAAGTGAAGGGAAAGGATTTAAAGTCACAATGAATGATTCAAAAGCAACAATGATAATGCACACAAAAAGAGAATTAAACTCGATAGAGATCTTTCTTCACTCCTCGGGATTGATCAGCGTTTGCAAGAGAAAAATCTCGCCAGCCGATTTACTGCATTCGACAGTTACCTTGTTCACTGTGATCTTTTGGACAAGGATGAAAACCTATTTAATGGGGAACCCTCAAGCGTTGTTGGTTGCTTTGACACTGCTCTGAGAGCCAGTTTGAAAGAGTAAATTATTCTCCACCGAATCCGGTGTTACTTGTACGAAAAATAACAGTTAGGAATGATATCACATCCATACGAATTTTCGTCACTGATGAGAATAGTGATATAACCCGTTTCAATGGTATGCCAATGAAGCTTGAATTAGAGATTATTTAATGATTTTAAAAAATGTGTTATCAAAATATTTTGCGAAGCCCCGAAGGGGCCGGCGGCGGAACGGTAAGCTCTATGTGCCAGGGACCACAAAGCCTTCAGCCAAGCGCGCCGCCGATGTATCCAATTATAATACCAGATAAATTCAGGTTGGATATGATTTCTGATTGCAAGAAGGAGCTTGAGAATAACATTACTCATTGCTGACGTGTCCTTGCCAAATTAAAGAAAATTAGATCCGCTTGTCACACAACATACATTGTGACAGGAGTAACGGCGACTGTATTGTCAACAAGCGGTATGGCGGTTTCTCTGAGTGGAATTGGGATTATTGCGGGAGCACCAATTTATTTCAACAGCATTTAATGTTGGGAGCAAGACTCTCAGTAAGAAAATTACAAAACATGAAAAAGAATATTTCAATAGCAGAGGCAAAACACCTGTCAGTAAGCTTAGGGTTGTTTTCAAAGGCTACTGAAACCAATTCTATCTCTAATATGGAGTTCAACTCAATTTTACACGAGATCGAGTAGTATAAATCACTGAAAAGACAGTTGAAATATAAAGCAAATATATCATCTGAGGTTGATGTTGACGCTATAAGGGAACAGATAAAAGAAAATTATCGAAAAAACTCGGATCACTCGTAAACATAACGAAATAAGAATTGAATTTGACGGGAAGCCGAACGGGTTTTTCACTGTTTATATCTAGAGAGAAATTCTAAAGACATAAAGATGTCTTTATAATTTTTTTAATTGCCCCAGGTTGATTTATATGTTTGTAGGATGCATCTTACAGTTGTGTAACGACGGAGAATAGTTATATTTCAGTTTTGTAACGGCGGAGAAGATTTAGCTTTCAGTTGTGTAACGACGGAGAATAATTATGTTTCTGTTGTGTAACGACGGAGAATAGTTATATTTCAGTTGTTTAACGACGGAGAATAGTTATATTTCAGTTTTGTAACGGCGGAGAAGATTTAGCTTTCAGTTGTGTAACGACGGAGAATAATTATGTTTCTGTTGTGTAACGACGGAGAATAGTTATATTTCAGTTGTTTAACGACGGAGAATAGTTATATTTCAGTTTTGTAACGGCGGAGAAGATTTATGTTTCAGTTGTGTAACGACGGAGAATGACTTTGTTTCTGTTGTGTAACGACGGGGAATAATTAAATTTCAGTTGTGTAACGACAGAGAATAATTATCTTTCAGTTGTGTAACGACGGAGAAGATTTATCTTTCAAAATATATAATAAGAGGTTTCCGCAATTTTTGTAAACCGTTTGGAGCGATTTATCGAAAGAACTATTGATCATTAGCCTGATGGGAAAGATTTCATAATGGCAGACGCTGAGGATTTTTAAAATAGATTGGAGTCTGCCATTAGGAAATCCTTCGCGTGGACAGGTGAGTGTTTCAAAATAAAAATTAAAAAATCTCACGCGTGAGACACTAACGTTTATATGCTTTCTACTTCAAGATATGTAAGAGAAATTCGTGAAGTTGTTTTTGAGACAGTTCAAGCTTTGAAAGAGGGAAATGTTTGATCGAAAATGAAATTCTTATAACCCACTACACAATTACTTTACTTGTCTGATGCATCAGACAAGTTTTCATTGGTGAACGATTTTGTGAATTTTAATATTAAAGAGTTTCCATAACAACTCTGACGTTTTATCCAAAATAAGCGCTCGCCTGTGAATAATCGGTTAACTTCAATAACTGGGACATATTATTTCCAGAAATTTCTTTCGGTTTTTTTTTAAACTTACCTTAGCAAGTTTGAAATAACTTAAAGGGCATGTAAACCCAAAAATACATGTTTTTCTTATACTATGTAAAAGGTGGCGTAGAAAACGAATTTGAAATTCGTTTTGTCCAATTCGACTTATTTTAGGAGAAAATCGGCATTTTCAACTGAAATTCCATTTCCGGTAAAAACAATAGCGAGAAGTCGTGACGTAAGCGGTGGAACTAAAATATTGCGCAACACATATTCCCCAGTAGAATTGGTGTGGAAGTTCGTGTAAGTAGCGGTAGTTTTGAAGATGTTTTTTCAGAAGATAGCGACTCGAATGCCTTAAGCTTAGTACATGACAGCGATGGGGATAATCCAGAATCTTCAGGAGAGTCTGGGCCACGTCCTTAATAATATGAGCCGCGTAGGGTTCACCGAAGCGATCCGCACGAAGACAGTACAGAACATGTCGACAGCGATGAGACCGTCTCGGAAACTCCGACAAAGTTTGAAGAGCACCTCTATCTTGTCACCGACTTAGGCCCATGGTTGTTTTTTAACAGCAAGTGAAAGGTCTTGTTGAACGTAAACTGCTTATTGTCGTTGACAATGTTAGAGAGGAGTGCGTTTTCCGTATCAAATCCTGTTATATCATAGACAGGAACATTTAACTTTTTTCACATTTTCGGGCCTTTTATCCTCTGGTATTAGCAAAGATAATTTTCCGCTTTATTGTGAAACCGAAATTATTGTGTAATGATATACTTCCTTGAAACGTGTTCAAGCTTGATTTACTCCTAAGTTCTCTTGTTAGTTTGTGGAGATGCCTTGATAAGTCGATTTGTCGCGTTCTCCCTTTTCAGTGAGTAAAACGTTCCTACTAGCTAACGGAAAAGAACGAAAATGTCGAATTAACTCACATAGATATTTTGTGGTACATAGTGTGTGTTGTGCGAATAACTTTAACCAAAAATAAACTGTATTGGTGCCACGGATACTTGTTAGTACAAAATGCAGACTGCGGACCGGACACAAAATGTAGACTAGGTACAAAATGTAGACTGCAGACTGCAGAATGGGTACAAAATGCAGATTGAGAATCTAAAGAGTTTTATTGTCTGGTATGTGATAACATGATAACATCTCATCTTACAACTTACCGAGCGTCACGCAATCGCTTTTCCGCGATCAGCTTTCACGATTATTTGCACTATTGTGGAATATTCCTGGCCCTTTTCTTGATCAAAATCGGTCTTAATATAATTTCAAGCCTTCTTATAGTCTTCTCACTTTGTGCGCGAGTTGGTTGGTGCGATGTCTGTACAGATTTTACCAACGTAATAAAAGTAGATGTAGATGCAAATGAGATGTCACTATTGAATATTTAACAGACACAATATTCTTCAGCTTTGCTCGTGGTCCCTGTTATCATCTTTTTAAGCGGTATGTGTTCTGTTACCAGAAATATATCATTTGTGATAAAGTTCAAACCCTTTCCTGAACTGACCGATATCCTGTTGCGTGAACAGTACGAAATCTCTGGCGGATACTGGCACAAACACAAGCTCGGATGGGCAGTGTATTCTTCTAACCTAAGTTTCAGAAAATAATTCCCACGAGCCATCAATTCCCCCCTGCCCTCAAGAAAATAAAAGTAGCAACAATAGCAACGTCAATGTAATAACAGCACTCCAACGAGATAAATAAAGAAACAAAAAAATTTATTTAATTAGATGGTAGCGAACCATGCGCTGTGTGAAAGTCGATGAGTACGAAATATTAATTTACAATACTGATGTCAGTTTCGCCCCATGTAAGGTAAGCCGGATTCCGGAATCCAGAAAATTTTTGCTTATGAAATCCAGAATACTGGGCATTGGAATCCAGAATCAAGCTTTTGGAATCCAGATTCCCGCCAAAGAATAAATCCAGAATCCATTTGCTGAAAACCCATTTCAGATCGCATAAACGGCTTTCACGCGCATCCATGCAACCACAGTCTTGCTAAAACGCAGACTGCAGACCACGTAGACCGTGCAGACCATGTAAAACGCGCTTTGTTCTCTGGAGAATTTCGACTGTTACAGCTCGCGAGACACTGACAAATTCATTAATGACCTATCACCCAATCGACTTCGATACTGACACGGCCTAATTTCCCTACTCAGTAATTACCCAATCGACTTCGATACTGACACGGCCTAATTTCCCTACTCAGTAATTACCAATGAGTCTTCTACTCCGATTCAAAAACCTCCCTTGTAAAGTTCGATTTTAGCTTGCAGCAATTTCTTTACTGTTAAGTTCTTTGGGCTGTCTTGTGAGAATCCTGGTTGTCATCGACTTCGATACTGACACGGCCTAATTTCCCTACTCAGTAATCACCCAATCGACTTCGATACTGACACGGCCTAATTTCCCTACTCAGTAATTACCAATGAGTCTTCTACTCCGATTCAAAAACCTCCCTTGTAAAGTTCGATTTTAGCTTGCAGCAATTTCTTTACTGTTAAGTTCTTTGGGCTGTCTTGTGAGAATCCTGGTTGTCATTTGCTTTGTTCACACAGCACATTCCTTACCTCTAAATCAGCGTCACGGTCTGCACAAATTTTATCTTGCCGTGTGGGGCTAATCTGCACAAGCTCGAGAAACTTGACCCCACGATTTTGTTTTGCCAGATAACGTGATCTCGAAAGAACCACGTAAAATTTTGTCATGACATGTCCAAAAATTGGAATCAGTTCCAATGTTGCCAAAAGAGTAAGAAAAAGGTGTGCACACCTTAATCATATGTAGATCACAGTTTAAAAAAAAGCAAACAAAAAAGTTTCAAAATTTCGGCATTTAAACATAAACCGCTTTCTTTGATATTGGCATTCGGAATAACAAAATTTAAGATTCCATAAAGCATCATATCTCAGTGCAAATAAAATACGATATTACCAGATTTAAGGGTCAAACAGGAAAATATCAGCGGGCCACTTTAAACCTTTGGAATTATTGCTCGGGAGAATTCACAGCCGACATAATGTGACTTGACTTAGGTAATCTTATAAAGAAAAAGGGAAGTATAGAAGAGAGAATCTGTTATTCTTGGAAAATTACCGTGTAAATGAAGATCATTCGCGATTTTGCAAAAGTTTACGTATAGTTGAGTTAGTTGAACACCGTTTTATGTGCAATCTCATAATGTAGAACATCATTGCCAATTACATATAGGAAAACAAGCTTTCCTTAGTCATAATCTGCGATTTATTTGCGAGATACACTGGATTTTATTAAAATTACATTTCAGTGTAAATTTTTCGTCAATACTATGGTTTTTGTTTAAAAGGAAAGTTTAAAAAGTAACTCGAGACGATAGGGAAATATTTTTGCGCTGTTCTGTTGACAGTTCTCCATGAACTCCATGAACTTTGAATTCCAAAATCTGGAATCTTTGTGTTTTGGAATCCGGAATCTGCACCAGTAGAATCTGGAATCCAGCACCTGTAACCCGGAATCCACAGCGTGGAATCCAGAATCTAATACTGTCCTGAATTACCTTACATGGGGCGTTCAGTTATTTGCCATTAAGCGAAATGGGTCACATGGCAAATAAATTTTCTCCATAAAAATCTCTATTTGAGGTTAACTTGAGGCAGGTAAACTCGCTCGTTTTCCGTTTGACCGGCTCGACGACGACAGCCTCCGCCTTCGCAATCTTTGAGGAAAGGAGTGACTTGCAGTGAAACTGCCCAATGACTTCTCGGCACAAAATCGTTGTGCCTCGAGATACAGCTGATTCTTTCGTCAAAAGTTAGCTTGTGGTTTGCTGAGGGAATCATTGTACAGCAACGAAACTCTAGAGCACTGACCAAGGGGATCCTTCGCCGCACTAAGTGCGAAGGAAGGAAATGCTATGTCAACAAAAACGAACACAGCTACCCATTCTAAACATAGATTTCGCCATAGAAAAAAAACGCAAACGCAACAAACTAAACAATCAGTAACGGGAGTTTTTTGTTCTAATCTTGACCTGAACACCGTAAGCGAGAAACCGTCTCAGTCAGTTTTCGTGGAGATCGTCTGACGCACGTGGTGTTCCTACGTCGGGCTAGACAGTTTCTCCTACTTCCACCACGACATTGTCTTTTCAAGGAGCGACGGAATGTGTCTTGAAGTTCCTTGGTGGCCTTCTCAATAAGTTTCTCTTTTTCTCCCTCTGCGTTAACGAAGGGAGATTTATTTATGTTGACAATCGATTCTTTCCTGACCTGGGGAGAACCTGAGAAACAATGAAATTTTCTGCCAGGGGAAAAAACGTCCCTGAATGCGCATATTTCTTCTTCGCCATACTCGAGCAGCTTCACAATCCTTACGATAGCGATTCCAATGGGAAGCATGTCATACTGGACTTTTAATTCGCTTGGCTCTTTCGATGCGACTAAACGGCGAGGCGTGAGTAGTCCAGTGGTCAGTGTGCTGGACTCTGGGTTCGACGGCCCGGGTTCAAGTCCTGGCTGGGGCATGACGTTGTGTCCTTAAGCAAGACGCTTTACTCACATTGCTTCGTCTTCTCGGATAGGACGTAAAATCGTAGGCCCCGTCTCCTGCAGGGTTGGGGTAGGAGACGTTAATTTCCCACGCACGAGATTACTGTGTGGTGGATGTCCTCCCCTGGGGTGGGATGGGTGGAAGAGACACTAATTGTAAAGCGCCTTTGATCATATAAAAAAAATGTTAATTGTTATAAATGAATTGTAAAGCGCTATTGAATATAGCAATAGAAATAGCGCTATATAAATACTGTATTATTATTATTATTATTATTATTTCAAACAGCAGTATCATGTAGGCTTCGATGGTGATTTGGGGAAAATCGTTTTTATCCACTGTATTGTCCAGAAATAGTTCCTGGATATGCTCCGCGAAGGATTTAGTATCCTTTTTGTAATAAGCCCTCAAAGCACTATGGATCTGCTCGTAATTTTTGGCTTTTCGTTTAAAAACTTTCCTTCCCCTCGGACGTATGAACACAACGCCATTGCCAGGTTGGTCTTTGGTTGGATTCGCTCTGAGTTTGAACAGCTCCACTATCTGCTCATCTTCTTTACTCTCGTCGTTTTTGTGCAACATAAAATAGAAGGTCTTGTTTTTCGTAAACTTATCTCCGTTGTTTATAATTTTAACCAGTAGCTCAATTACCTGACGAGCATCTACGCCTGTTATATCGTACAAGTCAAGCGGTCTGGCATAGTTTTTCATGGTTTCGGGTATTTCGTCCTCCGTTAATGGCCGGCATTTTGAAACGTCTGGTAGTTGTTCCGAAAAGAATTTCTGGCAGGCGGTAACTTGACAATCGTACAGCTCTGCATTTCGTCCAACTGTGGCCATGTGGAATTTGTTGCAAATATTACGAATATCGCCAACTGATTTTCGTATAAAGGGGTAAGTTTCTAAAGAAACTGTGGTGCTGCGTCGGTGGGAGAGTATAGCAGGTAATTTAGTGTTAACAACTGGGTTGAAAACGTAAATTAGCCACCATAAAGAATAAAAACGCTGACGTTTGTAGCGTTAGCCCTTCGTCAGAGCGATTGTAATAAGATGACCGCTGACCGTCCAACATGGCGGTTTCTCGTCAGACTAGTAATTAACGATTGATTTAACCATCGATTTCCGTTGTCTCAACAATTAAAGCTTACGTGGCATCTCCTTCGTGCGTTTGTTGGGCCATCTGTTCGGTTATTTCATTTGTTCGAGCAAGGTTAAGACTTATTTCAATTATCACTTGATTTAATAAATGAAATCGATCACAACGCGTACTGTTGTTATTTATTTTTATGTAATGTCGTGTTGGGAAACAGAACTTGAAAGAGGGTAAAATTGTGTAAACACGGCTTTTGAAAAACGGAACCACCCTTTTCAATTTCAGACCTTCCGCAGCACTGTCTTTCTCCTTATAAGCTTACTCTTTTTTAAATGAGAATATTGTTTTTCCGGATGAGGTTGAATATTCTTATTTTTCTACCGATTTCAGGCTGGAAATGTTCTTGCGAATATTCTTAGATTATAGCGCGAAATGTGACATTTCTGTCTTGGAATATAATAGCTTAAAAACCCTGATTCATAACTTATTGCAGAAATGTTATTGACAACAAACGTGCGGCAAGTCCTGTCATTGTTGCAAAATCTCAGTCTCAGGTTTATTCTTTAGAAGATGTATATTTATGTATGCCGATAGGAAAGAAAGTGTATTTACAAAACTTTACCGATCGTAAGGGAGTTTTATTTACCCTATCACAAAATAGGTATACGTGTGGCAATTATCAGGTCTTGGGAATCGATTGTATCCATGGCATCAATTCTTCATAACCCTCTTGCTGGCTTGCTGGTTAATTATTTCAGCACTCACTTTGAAAGGTGCCAGACATCGTGTTGGTGATTAATTTGTGGACGTTATTTATTCATTAAGCTAATGATGGAAACGTCTGTCAGTGGCTATACAGTCGATTCCAATGCCATCACCCTCTAGGCTATCAATGCAACGCTTGAAACCTTCCTTCTCCATGGTATCAGAGGAAGTGACCTTAGAAACCTGGACAACAATGAATGCCGCCACTTTACCAGTGTTATCGTCCATAAGTGTGTAAGTGCCAGAATTGGCATTGCGTCCAAGGCTGTCACAACGCCCATCACCATGTAAATTAATGGCACTCTTGTTAACCAGCTCCTGCCTTACCATTTGTTTTTCATTTTCCCATGCCTGATTTAAAACTGGAAAAACAAACTGACGCTGGGTGTCATAGAAAACACTCTCACTGATAAATTGCAAGTTCAAGTATGATGCTAACCGGCTTGGTTTTCTATTTATGATTGGTTGGTAGTCCCAGTGGTTGATATGGCCATCAAGACAAATCATTTCTATAGTTAGCATACTCCCAATTGTTTTCTTTTTTTGGCCTGTTACTGTTACACTACATTTGGTGCAACATTTAAGCAACTGATCCAGACAATTGCTTAAAACAAGATATTTTTTATCTGTGTCAGGATGATTCTCCCTCGGAGGGATTATTTTCATCAGAGAGCAGGATTTTTTAAACTTTTTGGTAAGTTCCAGTGTGGGTCCTTACACTCATCATCAAAGTCATCATCCTAGACCTCCTTGTCATCAAAGTCATTGTCCATGCTATTTTCAAGGAGGAACAGTAAAACTTGCTTGAGTTTTAACCAGAGAACTGCTATTACTTGAATTACCTGAAACCACTGTAGTGGGTACATCATCAGTTAGTGTTGCAACACTTACAAGTATAATGGGATCAAAACAGCACTGGGTTGCTGTGTTAAAACTGAATGAGGAGCATTGTGGGGGGCACTGTAGTCCAGTATCTCCATGTTGTTTGAATTATCGTTATCAAGGATCTTGTTAACGATGATTTTAAGGTCATAACTTATGGAGAGTTTAGAGAGAAATATTGCTTATCTGCCTCTTTCCTTGAATTTTATGGAGTGACCTCGGCCATAAGGAGCGCTATGAAGTCTTGGAAACTGAAAACGCCAGATGGAAAGGATCAGGGGTTTTCGGTACAAAAACTGATTGCAGCAACCAAGCCGACTACATTAGCGTATAAAATTCTACTGCAAAAAAATTCTACTTGCCCCCGAAGGAGTCAAGAAAAATGGGTAAGGGACTGTGACTTTGTAGTGGTGGAGGATTTGAGCTGGAGGTCGATTTATTTACTACCAAGGTTTTGTACGCTCAGTACTAAGATAAGAAACTTCCAGTTCAAATTTCTCCACAGACGTATAGCAACGAATTCCTCTCTATCTAAAATAGGAATTTCGGAGACTGCTCTCCGTTATTTGTGCAAAACAGACAAGGGAACATTAATCCATCTTTTCTCGGAATGCTCGGTAACAAAAACCTTTTGGGGAAGGGTTCATTGTTTTTTCGTTTCAGTTCATTTGATACCAGCCTCACACGTTTGGATATCTCTGAATGTTTAGGTTTTAAAGGAGAGAAAGATTATATTTTAGTAAGCGTTTGTTTGCTCTTCGCAAGGTATTATACTTATTGCTGTAAATTTAAGAACATATCTCCATCTGTCAGAGAATAAGTGTAACAGCTGAAATATAATTTAGAAATTGAAAAACAAATATCCATCGTGACTGATTCACAGAATAAATTTCAACAGAGGTGGGACAAAAGACTTCATGCACTATAATTGCCATATAGTTTGCAGGCGGGCTCCAAATGTAAGCCCGCTCGCAGGTTATATCTTACTCTCCTTATGCTCATCTTAAGCCTCTGAAAATCAATTTTTGCTAAACCCTGTACTTTTGGGTTTTTTTTCCAAGCTCTAACTCTTATCTATCCCACTCACAATTTAGCCTTTTTGTCTTTCGTAGCCGTTAATTTTTTGTGAATAAGTTTCACTTTTTTTTGTGTGTAAATGATGTGCCTCTAAATATGTACGCATTATCGCATTGTACGTAGTGTAAGTAGAACAATGTAAGTAGCAAAAATATTAATTGTATCTTAAGAGTACTGCAATTAAGTGGTGTAACGCAATGTTCGTAAAGAGTCCTGTGAAAGGAATCTTAATGTAGTTAATGTAAGTATCATGTTGTAAAAAAAACAAAGGTCTCTCTACAGTTGCATGGTGGGCGATGCGGAGAATGAAATAGGTTGAGATTGTGAATGAATTGTCAAGTTTTTTACGATTTTCTTGTATACCTTTGCTAATAAACTTCCAATTCCATTAATCGGTTCTTTTTGTCTCCATTTAGTATTTGATGATAGTGGATATTTCGTGCTGTATGCCACAATGCTAGGAATTAAAGGTAAGTTCATCTTGACCGAGGCCGAACGACTGTTAAACAATAAATTAAGGAAAGTATATGACTGAGAAAAATACTGGAGTAAATTGCGATTGACTACTAAACTACTTCTTGCGACTATTTGAAGCCGTTTACACTGCAGGGTGGAGAGATACACAGGGGAGTTTTAGATCCACATTTGTCCCTAAAAACGTGTGACCGCAAACATCCAGAATTCACGTGACCAGACTTCAGCGTTCACGTTCGCCGTTTGCCGTCCACGTTTGAACTTTGGGCAAAGCAGTTTCAGATAGTTAAACTCCCTGAATGCTTTTTTTCTTCCTGTTGGAAAGTTCTCACGTATGTCCTATAATTATATGTGAGGTGAAGTCTTTCTTTATAACCAATCCGTTTGGGACGCTAGGAAACCAATCTTTTAGCCACATATTTTGTTTGAAATGGAGGACCTCCGCGATTTGACGTCATTAGCCGTGATGGATGCTTTCTTTTTACTTCCGTCAGTATATCACTGGCTTCTTTCAGTTCTGATAAATAAATTTCGAGACGTGACGTTGATGTAGTAGGATATGAACCAATCGCAGATCCGAATCAGAGGTTAAACTGTATATCAATGTGTTTAGTAGCGTTGCAGTGGAACATCGGCTATGTTTAATGGCGATGCAATGGGAATATTCGAGAATCTAGAAACTACTTTATTTATGTGGTTTCGGTTCGTAGGGAAGCAAGACTGAGTATTGTCGTAACGATGTGTCACTGACACGTTTTGGAGTGCTGCCAGCAGATTTGACTTTGCTTGAGGTGAAATTTGACATCTATGGTAAACATTTTTGACCGTCGGCTTGATAAATTGAGAAAAGCAAGGTTTGTGTTTTTTTGTTTTTGTTTGTTTGTTTGTTTTTGTTTTTACCATAACGCCATTATAAGTCGCAATCTTTGCTTATTTTTCTATTATTTTTATTATTCCGCAATACTTATTTCGACTTTCCCGCTTGAAACCGAAAGCACTAAAGACAGTAACAAAGCTACATGTTCACAACCGATACGGATTATTTGTCAGTATAGAGCTACTAACAGGTATAGTCAATATATTTCTATCGCCGGTTGGTAGGCTTAACATTTGCAATTTTTTTCGACAAATAAAACAATTTTGGCAGTTTTTTTTCAACCTTGTTTTTTACTTATTCCAATCGGAAGCTCGTCATACTGGACTTGTAACTCCCTTGGCTCTTTCAATGCGACTAAACGTCGAGCTATTTCAAACAGCAAAATCATGTAGGCTTCAATGTTGGCTTGAGGAAAATCGTTATTAAACTTTGCATTGTTCCGAAATAGTTTCTTAATATCCTCCGCGAAGGCTTTAGTATCCTCCTCGTAACGAGCCTGCAAAGCACCATTGATCTCCACGTAATCACGGGGTTTTCGTTTAAAGTTTATCTCTCCCCTCGGGCGTATGAACACAATGCCATTGTCAGGTTGGTGTTCAGTTGGCTTTGCTTTGAGTCGGAACAGCTCCTCTATCTGGTCATCTTCTTTACTCTCGTCAGTGTTAGGCAACTTTAGATGGAAGTTCCTTTTATCCGTATAATTCTCTCTGTCGTTTATAATTCCAACGAGCACGCAATTACCTGATGGGTATCGAAGCCTGTTATATCGTTCAAGTTAATTGGTCTCACATAGCGTTTCATGTTTTTGGGCATTTCGTGCTCCTTCGTCAATAGCTGGCATTTTGGAACGTCGGGTAGTTGGCAGGCAGTAACTTGACATTCGTAAAGATCTGTAGTTGCTCCACCTGAGGCCATGTTGAACGCAGTCTCTTTGCTTCCACTTTGCTTCACGAACTTGTTACAGTTCTGACACGTAAATGTTGTGACGTTTCGTTTTTATGAGGAGTGTGGGCCAATCGCAGAACTACACGACTAGAAATTGAATATCAGTGACTTAGGTTGTGTACTTGGAATTCACCTAATAAGGCATTCTAGAAGCTCTGAACTGTTCTTTTTGTTAAATTGTTTAGAAGAATTGAACGGTGAGGTTAGAAATAATAACATCGTTTCGTTTCCAGACGAAACCCAGTTTGAATACCAAAGCAAATCCAGGGGATGAATATACCACAAAGAGGAAAACAAAAGAGAAGGTTATTCCATCTTTGTATTCAATGTTGTTCGCTTGATAGCGATGTAATAGGCACTTACCACCCGCTTGTTTCCTCCCAGATTCGAGAAAAATGCCATCAAAATTTGACCTTTTTTACTGACGATAAATTCCCGAGGCTTGTAATTAACGACTTTCACGACAACAGGGTCAAAATATATACAAGAACTGTCAGACGAGCATTAAAAGAAAAAAAACACTTGCTCTTAGCCATAAACATTTTAATTCACACAAATAAAGATTTTATCACACTGGATATGTAAAGAGGAAAAGGAAAACTCTGTCTGAATAAGCATCTTCCATGGGCAATGAAACTCAAGGTTACCTTACTGTAAAGTACTTCTCGAGCAGTCTCCTCCATGTACTAGAAACCGGAAACACTTTCATGCAGGGATATATTCTGGAATGTGGTCTATATCTTAGCAGGTTTTTCTAATTTTTTTCTTTCAGCGGTGAAAACGATCGTGATGTTTTCAACGAGAAACCTTCCAGAGAGGATATTCTTGCGGCTACTCAGGCAAGTGACGTCTTAGGTGCATGTAGCTCCGATTTTATTTTGAAAATTGTTAGCTTAAATCTTCCAAGTTGAAACATTTCCAATCTGAATGAATCTTCTTAATCCTTAATCATGCTCATCCAATTTTAGTTGATTATTTTTATTTTAATGTTCTTCTAGCTGAAAAAATAATACTTCGCGCTTTTTTACGAGTTCAAAGTAATTCTGCTCGTCGCTAAAAAAACGACGTAAAGAAGAAATAATAGTTTTTCCATCTGATCAACTTCAAAGTCTTTTATTAAAAAGGGCGTTAGTTTTTCACACGGTGGATAGAGCAGTGCATCAGATCTAGTAGAGAATATAGTTCGTTTGGTTATCAGTCAACTGCCACCTTAGCTTGTGGAGCAAGCTTACTTTTTGGCCTGTGACTGGGAGCGAAATATTCGATTGAGTATCGTAACCGCCATATTGGATTGGGTAGGTCGAGGAATTCCTCACCCCTACTTAGTTGTCATTCTCACCAGCTCAGCACCGCACCCCTCCTTCACTTCTTCACTCGCTCCAGGCCTCCTCGACCTTATCAATCCACTTTGGCGGCAGCACTCGGTCGCCAGAAGATAAGATGATTTTGGCTGTGTCGAAATTTTTTTACTCTTTTTTGTTTTGGTTAATTTTTTTAATTTTTCCGTGTTATTTTGCGTGCACGAGGAAAAGGTCTAGGAAGCAATTTGCGATTTGCTTCAAAAGCTCTCCTTACAGTTGATTCTAACGGGAATTAACACTCTTGAAATGTGGTTAAAGAATAGAAAAAGTTTTTAACCCACAAGACTGACGCTCCTTCTTTATGTCACTTTAGGGGTCTGAAGGAAGAAAGAAACTACCTGAACTGGCCACTCTTCACACAACAATGGGCGACATTACATTTAAACTGTTTAGCCAAGAGTAAGTCATATTAATTATATTCTTGTACTAATTTCATAGCAGATAAAAGGAAGGCACACTGTTTTAATATAAGTTTTTGTGAAATTATTCCTCCCAAGATTTAGAGCTGATCCCACATTTCAACTGCTACACAGCTTGTCTTTGATCACCAAAGAGGAACGGTGTGCGCCAATTGGAGCGCGAAAAACGCTCCAATAGCAGCTAACGACCATACTACGTCGACAATGACCCATACTTATACAACAGCATCGCTAGACGAAGATTTGACGGTACAGCATTCGATACAAACTGGTGATCCAGAAGGTAAGAAATGAGTTAACACTTAAACTCCCATGAGTGACCAAGGCAGAATTTCTCCTTACAATTTCAATACAATATCAACCAGATGAGTGATGAGAATAAAGAAAAATATCACTTTGGGGATAATTAGTTGATCCAATATTAAAATCTCTAAACTAACATTATGAGAATGTATGGTTGACAGTTAGGAGAATGATTAATTTGATCTGGTAGTTAAAGGGTTAATCTCCCCTTTAAACTTCGTCTGCACAAGTTAGTTTTATTTTGCAAGAGGGCTCGTGGAGGGGAATGCTTGCTTTTCTCTCAAGCAAAGAAAACTTGACCACGATTTTTATCGAGGAAATTTGCAAGGCGTACAATTTCCCTGAAAGTCGACACAGTTCCTTGACCTTGAAGTGTGTCGGCTTGTCAAGTTACTAGAGCCAATTCTATCTCGGTCTCCTCACAGCCATGTGATTCTTTTTGTCTCCTTGTTTCCCGTTTTTGCTCAAAGATCTCAATGGTGATTCTCCTTACTAACCAAATTGTATTTCTCAGCTTTAGTTCTGAGATTTTGGTCTTTAATCGTGAAGTATCTAGTATCCAATTAATGGTTGATATTTTTCTTCGTTCTCAAAACCTTTCTACTGAATAGTGTACGAAAACTACATGGAGAAATCATTTCTTGGTCACTTATGTGAGTTAAAGGTTAAAAACTGGCATGTCAGCCTTTGGAAAGTAGGACTTCATTGAGAAAACATGACACCTTTTCCATCCACATCACAATATAATTTTTTTCGAGAAATCTGCAAGACTACAACTATACGATTTTATTTTTCTGTAAATCAGGTGATGGCACTGGAGGGGAATCTATCTGGGGCGGTGAGTTTGAAGACGAGTTTCATCGAAACTTGCGGCACGATCGGCCATTTACAGTAAGCATGGCTAATGCAGGACCGAACACAAACGGCTCGCAGTTCTTCATCACTGTCGTACCAACGGTAAGTACACCAGAGAGAAAACGGAGTTTGAAATCGTTCTTCAGACAATGGTGTGTTCAAAGAAAAGGGGACGACAGATTTTTTACTTAAAACGTTTGCAATTTATTTCACCCATTCAGTTGAGGTTTTCTTTAACTTTGAATTTGAAGGGACAGTAGCCTGCCACGGAGGGGGTAGAGTTCGACACGAGAACAACCATTACAATTTCAAAAAAAAAATTTAGAAAGCTGACGCTGTGAAGATGATATATGGGTACGCGTTGTAAGAGCTTCTGTGAGGCGGGGAAGCGCGTAACCTTGAAATTCCCTAACCTATCGTATATGGGCCTATACCCAGTGTAGCTCTTTTGACCTTTTGATTGGTCGAGAACACTCGCCTCATCTTTTACCCAACCAATCAGATGCTAAACAAAAATCAAGTGCGACGTGGTATCCCTCGTTTTCCCGCGCTTTAGGCCGTTCGCCTGATCTGATTGGCTGTTGTGACAACCTCGGTTTTAACACCTTTCTTTTCAAGTACTTTGCACCACTGACTGACAAGAAGTTAATTCGTTTCTTCGTTTCTTCTTGTCACAACAGCCCTGGCTTGACAACAAGCACACTGTGTTCGGCCGCGTCGTTAAAGGAATGGACGTGGTGCAAGAGATTAGTAAGGTGAAAACAAATCCTAAGGACGATAAACCGTACGACGACATCAAGATTATCAACGTTTCTTTGAAAGGCTAAGGTGGCATCAGAGCTGAGGAAAAAAACGTGAATTGACCACAAATTTACACCCCTCCTTATCATGTTGAACGATATGAAGTCATTGCACGGGTTTTAACGATTCAGGTAAAAAATGGACGGTCCAACAAAATGGAATCAAAAGGATTAATCTTGATGGCGACTGCAATTTTTACAGTTGTTATGATTTGTGGAAGGACAAGCAGAAATGCTAGTAAAAAACAACCTGTTGCTAACATAACGTCAAGCCCATGTGACAATTTGTAAAGAACTCCAAACATTTCCGCTAAGTTATTGAGCGATAAGCGGGAGCAAGCATGAAACTCTCCTCGAGACGTCTTTGGGAAGCAACAACGCATCGGTGACCACTTTTTATTAAACGTCTTGTTTTATTCAAGACAAGTCGTTTCTTTTATTAGGAACGATTTTTTGTAAGATACGCTTTTTATAAAATAAGTAACATATTCATTCTGACCTATATTCAAGTACAAACATCGTTTCTTTCTTTAGAATTGTCGGTTTTGTTTGTTTGTTTGTTTGTGTTTCATAACATAGCTTCTTCGCTATTAAAATCTGTGATCTTGGCCTTCAAACAACTGCGTTAAAGACATTGGTAACTTAATTCGTTATAGACCATCCTACAGGGGGCGTGAAATTAACTTTTTTTCTGATAGCCACTTGGCTCCTAAATTCTTCAAAGTGGTAGCCAATTCAAAAAAAGTTGGTCGCCATTTTCAAAGACAAACAAAATCTTTCTTTACGCTGTCAGCGTTCTAGATAGACCCTCCAAAATTAAGTTAGGGAAAAGATCTTTAACGTGCTACAAAGTGGACACTAGGATGTATGATATACAACGTTCAGGCTCATCTAAATCCAAGATGGCGTCTAGTTATCGATCGAGATGCATGTGCTACGTTTTGGAAACAAACTTAACGAGGAAGTTTGCCGCGGATTTATCTTTATCGGATTTATTTAATTCTCTATATCTCTTGGTAAGGTTATGATGAAACGTTGTAGTCGCCAATTTGGCGACTAACTTTCAGGATTTGGTCGCCAAAGTGAAAAATTTAGTCGCATCGGCGCCTGTATTAGGCGCAATTTCACGCCCTGTGACCTAAGAACTCTTTTGAAATTTTAAAGTTGGCATTCGTGACCACTTAAACACCACAAACTTTTTTTTTTTCATGTCAGACAATAAAACCAATGAGTGCTTAAAAATTATTTTGCGGTTTTTCCTTGACATTTTAGAGAAATAACTAAAACAGTTTTCATGTAATAGTTACTGGCGCTCACACCTATGTATGGATTGTACGGACACTTACAAGCCACGTAAGTCCAAGAATAACTCATCAAAGCGACTCTGTTTTCAGAGTTTTGTTTTTTTAATCCGAATCTGCTTTCCTTTTCTCTTGGGATCCTGCGGAATTATCGACAGACCTGATCAACTTGGTCAATATCTGCGCCTGTAGAAATAAAAAATAGATATCGCATAATTTTTTTTTTGGAAAGTTCTAACACTGTCTAAACATACAGAGATAGAATTAGAGTTTTTCTCAACCTTACTGCGCTGTAAGAAATTCTGTAACCTCAATGGCTACTACACCGGTTGAATCGATGACCGATAATGCTCAATTTCCACGCGTGTATGAATCATTTACGCTTCCCTTGACATTGATACAGTCGTACTATTATTAAACTGCCACCCACCAGGAATGGCGGAGTGACCGCTTGATACGCTTGAACGGGATAAAAAACGCCATTTCATACCACAATTGATTACTAAATGTTCGAAAGATAATTTACAATGCGTTGGAGACATTTTAAGACATTTTAAGTCAAAGTACAGGCACCAAGCATGGAGTGAATTTTACTTGAGAGATTTGTTTTCATTTGAAAAGTTCCACTTTAAATGACTGTTTAATACAAGGATAGACAATACTATAGGCCTCTGGGACTCATTCAAGCGCAGCAACCGCTTGATCGAGATGAAAGCAAGACAAAGGTGGGATTACGTCAAGTGTAGTGCCGAATCGTAAATTAAATTACACATTAATTTTGCGTGGTGCCCTAGAAATATTGTTTTGGTAATAAATTAGAGTTTATCTCATGTTCGTTGGTCGAGTCTTTTACGTCGCAGGTTTTGAAGATCAAAACTTTTTTTTTTTTTAACCGGCGACCTTTAAAAACTTGCGACCGAAAGCTGCTACTCTGAAGGCGTGACACGCAATCATAAGTCAAACTCAGTAAATTACACTGCAATTTGATTATTTATAAATTTCTCTAACCGCAACAAGCCAAAACAGGCTTCTTGTGATTGTCATCAGCAGGAATTTATTTTCCTTAAAATTTATTGAGATCTATATTTCGATATATTTAAGTTATGTAGTTATTTCACGCGAAGGAGAAGCTGTAATGATAAGCTAAAATGAGAACATAAACAGTCCGTGAATGTTGAGAAGCCCCTAATTTGTGGTTGCCTCTATTGGTTAGATCATGATTAACATTTCAGACATTTTAAGAGTCCACGGTTTTCTGAGTCAGAGGCAGACTGAATTTAGCGATACACTCCTCTGTAGAGAATAATAAGCAGTAGCTTGGGAAGCTTTCTTTAAACCCTACAAAACTGGTTCTTCGACAGCAAAATTCCATCAAGAGAGATGTCAGATCAGCGAATAGCTACAAAATTATTCTTCAGCAGCGGGCCGCAGATATCAGGAGAAGGAGAAACGGTTTGAAACTTGTTCTGTTCTACACGGACTTTATTCGGTGAACGACCATAGCGAGGACTTTCTAACGATTACAATTTCACAAACTGGAACAGAATACCTTATGTTGTACAAGCATGTAGAATCTCTTCCCGAATCATGGACTTGTCATATGTGCGCTGCACTCAACAATATTTCAATACCACCCAAAAATAAAAATCTTGAGGACTTCTAGGGAGAAAGAAGTGATTGTGCAACCAAAGAAAGGAAGATAAGAAAATTAGTAGAAAAGACGGACTGAAATACTATTTGTAACGATATGGTAGAGTTGAAATTTCTTTCTTTTGAAAATTACTTTTGAAGTAATTGCAAGAAGAAAAAAGGAGGAGCTAGGGATAAGTCAGGCAAGTCGTCAATCACACGAGGTCAACCACACGTGAAGAGAAAGCCGCGCGTTTCGAGATCTTCACGCGTGTCTAAACCACATCAAAATACCCTAAGGCGCTGTTTTTATCTTTATTCTACCTTACTATCACAAGAAATGGAGGCATCAGAGAACCCTTCGCTTCAAACCTTAGGCCCTGATCCAATATTGTTTTGTACAGCACCGGAGAAAAACAGATTTGACATATTTTCATGCAGGCAACCTGATTTGAGGTGAGTCTTTTCCCATCAGTTACAAAGACAAATAAGTACATGTATGAAAATGTAAACAATTATAAAGATTGAATTTAAGATTCAGGCTCTAACCGATCAAAAATACTCATTTCAAGATTAAAAAACGGAGAATTACATTTCTCAAACGCCAGAAAATTATAGACTGACGATGACATAGTAAGTTAAGTAATTGAGTAGTAAATATTTAGAATATCTACCGTAAATATCTAGAATACCGCTTACCATTACGGTCCAAGTTTGAGTTGATGAGCACTTATTGACCGCTTGTGCTAATATATTTGATTACCGAAATTTTCATTACATTTTTTAGCATTCTAATGAGAAACAGTCAAAGGAATGTAGCCCGTCTGCTAAGTAACCAAAAAAATTATCTTGCCAGCACTTTTCTTAACGTTTGCTCGAGATAAAATCGGAATTTGCTGTTTCACCATTCCGCCTGTCCCTACCCTCCTCGTCCCCCGCCCCTCCTCCAACAGGAGCAAACAGGAAGGAAAATTTCTAGGAAATCATGTGATGACCTCTGGACCCGAGATGATGCAAGGCTAGGCATGCAAATACATTCACGTATCCAGCTGCGAAGAAATTCTCTTTAAATTGAAAGCAAAAGCACTGTTTGAAATTTTCCCAAGATTAACAATTCTGTTAAGGAAAATTTGTGTGCTGAGACCTGGAAAATTACATATCTTAAATTCACGATAATAAGAAAGAAGGAAAAAAAGGAATCCGACAATGTCATCTCGAAAAATTGTTATCTTACATACGACCGGTCGAATCAGAGTCCGAGTAATCTTCAAATTAATCACTTTCTGTATCGTTCCCACTCTCCTCCTGCACAACCATATTTCCAAATCGGTCAGCAAGCTCATCTGCATCTGGACTTGAGCGGAACATTTCTTCAAGCTCTTCGCGATGATTCATTTGCTCTATTTGGGAAAGAGCGGTCTCGTTGATCCTGTGGATTGCTTCCTCCCTCTCTTCGGGTTCACCCGTGTAGCAGTAAAATTTCTTAGAACTTGAACAAAAGACATCGTCAAAGCTGCACGTTTCTTCTTTGCCAAGCTCCAATAATTTTACTGACCTTGCGATGGCGCTGCCAATCGGAAGATCGTCCAATTTTTTTTTCTTTTCAGTCGGCGCGTTCTCCTTAACAAGGCGTCGAGCTATTTCAAAAAGCAAAAGAATGTAGACTTCATAGGTGGCTTGTGGATCATTTTCAAGTACCACTGAGTTGTCCTGAAATAAGCTCTTGATATGCTGTGCGAATAATTGTGTGTTTCCATCGTATTCGCTCTTCAAGTCTGCGTTCAACTTTTCGTAAGTTAGTCCTTTTCTTAGCCCCCGAGACACTCTGGCATTGCCAGGTTGGTTTATGAAAGGGTATGGTGCAAATTTGAAGAACTTCTCTCTATTGTCATCCTGCCTAGGCCCATGGCTGTTTAAAAGCAAGTAAAAGGTCTTGCCTTCCTTAAACTCCTGCCGGTCGTTTACGATACGAGAGAGGAGTGCGACAACCTTTTCAGCATCAAATCCTGTTATATCATAGACATGACATTCGAGCTCTCTCAAATTTTGGGGCCTTTTATCCTCCCGAACTGGCTTAGACACATCTTCGGGGAGGTTTTCACGAAAGAATTTTCCACAGGCTATTTTTTGTTTTTTGAAAACCGCGTCAGCGTTGGATTTTTCCATTTCGATGTGAATCTTTGAAATGCCACTGTTGAATCCGTTCCACTGGCTTCTCAGTTCTCTTGACTCATGTGATTAACTCGATGGACAACAATACACTTAAGCAGATTGACTGACGTAGACTAAGAACACGTGCGGAACTTCATAAGCACTCAATGATTGGCTCCAGCTGGAGCCAGCACGTGTCTTGTAGCAAAGGGAATATTTCGCTTTATTGTGAAACCGAAAGTGCTGTGTAATGATATGCTTCCTTGAAACCTGTTCAGCTTGATTAACTACTAAGTTTCTCGTAAGTTGGTGGAGATGCCTTGATAAATCGATTTGTTCTATTCATTCTTTTCAGTGAATCAGGAAAAATTACTTCACAACGGAATCCGAAAAAACATTTCATGAAAATTTACTTTAAATTTAAATTTACTTTGGATCACCGTCCCGTATTAGACGCCTTACGTCTTGAGAAGCTAACAAAAACAAAATTCTACAACGTCTTTAGCCATAAGCCAAAGGTTGATTGGAAGATTCAGGCTTTTCCCGATCACAAGTACTCATCTATAGATTAAAAACCTGAAGAATTACAAGTACTAATATTCAAGAGTCAAACGTCAAACAATTATAAATACGTCATTGAGAAGGTTCTACAGTGAATATCTTGAATATCTAGAATATCCCTTGCCATTGTGGTCAGCGTTTGAGTCGGTAAGCACTCATTTACCGTCTTCGCTAATGTATTTGAATACCGGAAAACAGGCAAAGGAATATTACTAGTGCTGTCGGTGTTCCGCAACTGGAATCTAGGATATTTATTTTGTCACGACCTCCAACCGGTTTTGATTAATTGGAAAAAAAATTTGCATATTGATCCTGCGGCAGTTTCTTATCAAAGGCTTTGATCGGTGGAAATTCAAAAGTTATCGTCTTTGCTTTGCTAAATAAAAATTCGTAAAACGTTTCTTACTCCTGTTGATCCTGATGAATCCAAGTGGTCTTCAGATGAAGAAGATTCTGCATCGAGCAAAGACTTAATCGATAAATAATTCTCAGTCTTTTTCTCAGATCCTGAAGTTGTTTTGCTAGCACGGCTCCTTGTCGTTTTTCGGAGCAGAACGTTTCTTTGAGCTCTTTTAGGTGAGGAGTGAAATGACTGAGGAGTGCGATGACTCTAAGGTGTTAGCCTTTTGTTTCAAGTGTTCACCTACGCCGCTCTTCTACGCAAACATATACTTTAAGGTCTTTGTATTCAATGTTGTTGGTTTTCTTTTTATGTCATTGGCACTTACCACTTGGGGATTGTTTCCTCCCAGATTCGAGAAAAATGCTATCAAAACTCGACCTATTCTGGCTGATGATAATTCCTGAGGCTCGTACTTAACGACTTTTGCGACAACAGGGTCAAAATAGATACGAGAGCTGTAAGACGAGCATTAATAAATTAATCTCCTCTATGTACTAGAAAACTGGAAACACCTTCATGCAGGGATGTATTCTGAAACGTGGTCTATATCTTAGCAGGTTTTCCTAATTTTTCTTTCAGTGGTGAAAGCGATCGTGATGTTTTCAACGAAAAACCTTCCAGAGAAGAGATTCTTGCAGCTACTCAGGCAAGTGAAGTCTTAGGTGCATGCAGCTCCGATTTTATTTTGAAATTGTTAGGTTAAATCTTCCTTTGAAACATTTCCAATCTGAGTGAATCTTCTCAATCCTTAATCATGTTCATCAAATTTTAGTTGATTATTTTCGTTTTAATGCTCTTCTTGCTGAAAAATAATACTTCTAAGTAATTCTGCTCGTCACTAAAAAACGAAAGAAGAAATAATAGTTTTTCCATCTGATCACCTTCAAAGTCTTTTATCAACAAGGGCGTTAGTTTTCCACACGGCGGATAAAACAGTGCACCAGATCTAGTAGATAATATAGTTCGTTTGGTTATCAGTCAACTAAGATAAGACGATCTTAGCTACCGTAAAAGGATTTTTAGACTCTTTTTTTGTTCTGTTTTGGTTAATTTTTTTATTATTTTTTTTTTCGTGTTGTTTTGCGTGCGCGAGAAAAGGGTCTGGGAAGCAATTTGCAGGTAGCTTCAAAAGCTCTTTTTACAGTTAATTCTAACGGAAGTTAAAACTCTTGAAATGTGGTTAAAGAATAAAAAAGTTTTTAATCCACAAAACTGACGCTCCTCCTTTGTGTCACTTTAGGGGTCCGAAGGAACAAAGAAACTACCTGAACTGGCCACTCTTCACACAACAATGGGCGACATTACCTTTAAACTGTTCAGCCAAGAGTAAGTCAAATTAATTCTATTTTTGTATTGATTTCAGAGCAGATAAAAGGAAAGTACACTGTTTTAATTCAATTTCTTGTGAAATTATTAATGTCAAGATTAAGACTTGATCTTACATTTCTACTGCTGCACTGCTTGTCTTTGAACACCAAAGAGGAACTGTGTGCACCAATAGGAGCGCGAAAAACGCTCCAATAACAGCTAGCCACCATGCTACGTCGACAATGACCCATACTTATACAGCCGCATCGGTGACGAAGATTTAACCTTACAGCAGCCGAAACGAAACGATCAATGATAGATAACGACAACGCTATCTCGATACCGACCCTTATCGCGAGACCATGTCATCGTCAATTTTCCTGGTCTACTAAGATGAAAAGTAAATACATCTTAGTAAGAGATGTTTTTCGTCTTGTCACGAGCATGGGACACCGTGCTGATCCCAGCAGTATGCAGGAAGAATGTTATATAAACTTCGTAATGGAACTCGCGTAGAGTCACTGTGGCTCAGTTGTAGAGCATCGGAGCCCTTTCCTCCTGGGAACGCAGAATTTTTTCTTTGTCCCACGCTCGTGACAAGACGAAAAAAATATTTCTCTATTTCTTTACCGAGCTCAAAACTTACCATCGCTATTTAAATAAATATTTTTCTATTACTGTCATGGTTAATTTTTTATCATATTTACGTCCAGGTGTCCCAAAACTGTAGAAAACTTCTCAACCCACAGCGAGAATGGTTACTACAACACGCACATTTTCCACCGTGTTATTCATCAGTTTATGATACAAACTGGTGATCCAGAAGGTAAGAAACGAGTTAACCCTTTAACTCCCGTGAGTGACTAGGACAGAATTTCTCCTTACAATATTAATAAAATATCAACCAGATGAGTGATGAGAATAAAGAAAAAATATCACTTTGGGAATAATAAGTTGATCCAATACTAAATTCTCTGAACCAACAGTATGAGAATTGTATGGTTGACAGTAAGGAGTATCACAAATTTCATCTGGGAGTTAAAGGGTTAGTCTCCATTTCCTCTCAAGCAACAAAAACTTGACCGAGACTTTTATCGAGGAAATTTGCAAGGGGTACAATTTCCCTGAATGTCAACACAGTTCCTTGAGTAGTGTCCTTTTCAAGTTACTTGAGCCAATTTTATCTCGGTTTCCCCGCAGCCATGTGATTCTTTTTGCCTCCTTGTTTCCCGTTTCTGCTCAAAGATCTCAGTGGTGATTCTCCTTACTCACCAAATTATATTTCTCAGCTTTAGTTCTGAGATTTTTGTCTTGAATCATGAAGTATCCCATGGTTGATATTTTTCTTTATTCTCATGACTTTTCTACTTAATAGTGTACGGAAACTGCAAGGAGAAATCATTTATTGGTCAGTTATGTGAGTTATAGGTTTAAAACTGGCATGTTAGCCTTTGGACAGTGGAACTTCATTGAGGAAAAAAAAGACACCTTTTCCATCCAAATCACGATTTAACTTTTTTCGAGAAATCTGCAAGACTACAACTATATGATTTTATTTTTCTGTAAATCAGGTGATGGCACTGGAGGGGAATCTATCTGGGGTGGTGAGTTTGAAGACGAGTTTCATAGAAAATTGCGACACGATCGACCATTTACAGTAAGCATGGCTAATGCAGGACCGAACACAAACGGCTCGCAGTTCTTCATCACTGTTGTACCAACAGTGAGAAAACGGAGTTTGAAATCGTTCTTCAGACAATGGTGCGTTCAAAGAAAAGGGGACGACAGATTTTTCACTTAAAACGTTTGCAATTTATTTCACCCATTCAGTTGAGGTTTTCTTTAACTTTGAATTTGAAGGGACAGTAGCCTGCCACGGAGGGGGTAGAGTTTGACACGAGAACAACCATTACAATTTCAAAAAAAAATTTAGAAAGCTGATACTGTGAAGATGATATATGGGTACGCGTTGTAAGAGCTTCTGTGAGGCGGGGAAGCGCGTAACCTTGAAATTCCCTAACCTATCGTATATGGGCCTATACCCAGTGTAGCTCTTTTGACCTTTTGATTGGTCGAGAACACTCGCCTCATCTTTTACCCAACCAATCAGATGCTAAACAAAAGTCAAGTCCGACGTGGTATCCCTCGTTTTCCCGCGCTTTAGGCCGTTCGCCTGTTCTGATTGGCTGTTGTGACAACCTCGGTTTTAACACCTTTCTTTTCAAGTACTTTGCACCACTGACTGACAAGAAGTTAATTCGTTTCTTCGTTTCTTCTTGTCACAACAGCCCTGGCTTGACAACAAGCACACTGTGTTCGGCCGCGTCGTTAAAGGAATGGACGTGGTGCAAGAGATTAGTAAGGTGAAAACAAATCCTAAGGACGATAAACCGTACGACGACATCAAGATTATCAACGTTTCTTTGAAAGGCTAAGATGACATCAGTGCTGAGGAAAAAAACGTGAATTGACCACAAATTTACACCCCTCCTTATCATGTTGAACGATATGAAGTCATTGCACTGGTTTTAACGATTCAGGTAAAAAATGGACGGTCCAACAAAATGGAATCAAAAGGATTAATCTTGATGGCGACCGCAATTTTTACAGTTGTTATGATTTGTGGAAGAACAAACAGAAATGCAAGTAAAAAACAACCTGTTGCTAACATAACGTCAAGCCCACGTGACAATTTGTAAAGAACTCCAAACATTTCCGCTGAGTTATAGAGCGATAACCGGGAGCAAGTATGAAACTCTCCTTGAGACGTCTTTGGGAAGCAACAACGCATCGGTGACCACTTTTTATTAAACGTCTTGTTTTATTCAAGACAAGTCGTGTCTTTTATTAGGAACGTTTTTTTTGTAAGATACGCTTTTTATAAAATAAATAACATATTCATTCTGACCTATATTCAAGTACAAACATCGTTTCTTTCTTTAGAATTGTCGGTTTTGTTTGTTTGTTTGTTTGTTTTTCATAACATAGCTTCTTCGCTATTAAAATCTGTGATCTTGGCCTTCAAACAACTGCGTTAAAGACATTGGTAACTTAATTCGTTATAGACCATCCTACAGTGGACGTGAAATTAACTTTTTTTTCTGATAGCCACTTGGCTCCTAAATTCTTCAAAGTGGTAGCCAATTCAAAAAAAGTTGGTCGCCATTTTCAAAGACAAACAAAATCTTTCTTTACGCTGTCAGCATTCTAGATAGACCCTCCAAAATTAAGTTAGGGAAAAGATCTTTAACGTGCTACAAAGTGGACACTAGGATGGATGATATACAACGTTCAGGCTCATCTAAATCCAAGAAACAAACTTAACGAGGAAGTTTGCCGCGGATTCATCTTTGCAAATTTATTTAATTCACCATATCTCTTGGTAAGGTTATGGTGAAACGTTGTGGTCGCCAATTTGGCGACTAACTTTCAGGATTTGGTCGCCAAAGTGAAAAATTCAGTCGCATTGGCGCCTGTATTAGACGCAATTTCACGCCCTGTGACCTAAGAACTCTTTTAAAATTTTAAAGTTGGCATTCGTGACCACTTAAACACCACAAACTTTTTTTTTTCATGTCAGACAATAAAACCAATGAGTGCTTAAAAATTCTTTTGCGGTTTTTCCTTGACATTTTAGAGAAATAACTAAAACAGTTTTCATGTAATAGTTACTGGCGCTCACACCTATGTATGGATTGTACGGACACTTACAAGCCACGTAAGTCCAAGAATAACTCATCAAAGCGACTCTGTTTTCAGAGTTTTGTTTTTTTAATCCGAATCTGCTTTCCTTTTCTCTTGGGATCCTGCGGAATTATCAACAGACCTGATCAACTTGGTCAATATCTGCGCCTGTAGAAATAAAAAATAAATATCGCATAATTGTTTTTTTGGAAAGTTCTAACACTGTCTAAACATACAGAGTTAGAATTAGAGTTTTTCTCAACCTTACTGCGCTGTAAGAAATTCTGTAACCTCAATGGTTACTACACCGGTTGAATCGATGACCGATAATACTCAATTTCCACGCGTGTATGAATCATTTACGCTTCCCTTGACATTGATACAGTCGTACTATTATTAAACTGCCACCCACCAGGAATGGCGGAGTGACCGCTTGATACGCTTGAACGGGATAAAAAACGCCATTTCATACCACAATTGATTACTAAATGTTCGAAAGATAATTTACAATGCGTTGGAGACATTTTAAGACATTTTAAGTCAAGGTACAGGCACCAAGCATGGAGTGAATTTTACTTGAGAGATTTGTTTTCATTTGAAAAGTTCCACTTTAAATGACTGTTTACTACAAGGATAGACAATACTATAGGCCTCTGGGACTCATTCAAGGGCAGCAACCGCTTGATCGAGATGAAAGCAAGACAAAGGTGGGATTACGTCAAGTGTAGTGCCGAATCGTAAATTAAATTACACATTAATTTTGCGTGGTGCCCTAGAAATATTGTTTTGGTAATAAATTAGAGTTTATCTCATGGTCGTTGGTCGAGTCTTTTACGTCGCAGGTTTTGAAGATCAAAACTTTTTTTTTTTTAACCGGCGACCTTTAAAAACTTGCGACCGAAAGCTGCTACTCTGAAGGCGTGACACGCAACCATAAGTCAAACTCAGTAAATTACACTGCAATTTGATTATTTATAAATTTCTCTAACCGCAACAAGCCAAAACAGGCTTCTTGTGATTGTCATCAGCAGGAATTTATTTTCCTTAAAATTTATTGAGATCTATATTTCGATATATTTAAGTTATGTAGTTATTTCACGCGAAGGAGAAGCTGTAATGATAAGCTAAAATGAGAACATAAACAGTCCGTGAATGTTGAGAAGCCCCTAATTTGTGGTTGCCTCTATTGGTTAGATCATGATTAACATTTCAGACATTTTAAGAGTCCACGGTTTTCTGAGTCAGAGGCAGACTGAATTTAGCGATACACTCCTCTGTAGAGAATAATAAGCAGTAGCTTGGGAAGCTTTCTTTAAACCCTACAAAACTGGTTCTTCGACAGCAAAATTCCATCAAGAGAGATGTCAGATCAGCGAATAGCTACAAAATTATTCTTCAGCAGCGGGCCGCAGATATCAGGAGAAGGAGAAACGGTTTGAAACTTGTTCTGTTCTACACGGACTTTATTCGGTGAACGACCATAGCGAGGACTTTCTAACGATTACAATTTCACAAACTGGAACAGAATACCTTGTGTTGTACAAGCATGTAGAATCTCTTCCCGAATCATGGACTTGTCATATGTGCGCTGCACTCAACAATATTTCAATACCACCCAAAAATAAAAATCTTGAGGACTTCTAGGGAGAAAGAAGTGATTGTGCAACCAAAGAAAGGAAGATAAGAAAATTAGTAGAAAAGATGGACTGAAATACTATTTGTAACGATATGGTAGAGTTGAAATTTCTTTCTTTTGAAAATTACTTTTGAAGTAATTGCAAGAAGAAAAAAGGAGGAGCTAGGGATAAGTCAGGCAAGTCGTCAATCACACGAGGTGTCAACCACACGTGAAGAGAAAGCCGCGCGTTTCGAGATCTTCACGCGTGTCTAAACCACATCAAAATACCCTAAGGCGCTGTTTTTATCTTTATTCTATCTTACTATCACAAGAAATGGAGGCATCAGAGAACCCTTCGCTTCAAACCTTAGGCCCTGATCCAATATTGTTTTGTACAGCACCGGAGAAAAACAGATTTGACATATTTTCATGCAGGCAACCTGATTTGAGGTGAGTCTTTTCCCATCAGTTACAAAGACAAATAAGTACATGTATGAAAATGTAAACAATTATAAAGATTGAATTTAAGATTCAGGCTCTAACCGATCAAAAATACTCATTTCAAGATTAAAAAAACGGGAGAATTACATTTCTCAAACGCCAGAAAATTATAGACTGACGATGACATAGTAAGTTAAGTAATTGAGTAGTAAATATTTAGAATATCTACCGTAAATATCTAGAATACCGCTTACCATTACGGTCCAAGTTTGAGTTGATGAGCACTTATTGACCGCTTGTGCTAATATATTTGATTACCGAAACTTTCATGACATTTTTAGTATTCTAATGAGAAACAGTCAAAGGAATGTAGCCCGTCTGCTAAGTAACCAAAAAAATTATCTTGCCAGCACTTTTCTTAACGTTTGCTCGAGATAAAATCGGAATTTGCTATTTCACCATTCCGCCTGTCCCTACCCTCCTCGTCCCCCGCCCCTCCTCCAACAGGAGCAAACAGGAAGGAAAATTTCTAGGAAATCATGTGATGACCTCTGGACCCGAGATGATGCAAGGCTAGGCATGCAAATACATTCACGTATCCAGCTGCGAAGAAATTCTCTTTAAATTGAAAGCAAAAGCACTGTTTGAAATTTTCCCAAGATTAACAATTCTGTTAAGGAAAATTTGTGTGCTGAGACCTGGAAAATTACATATCTTAAATTCACGATAATAAGAAAGAAGGAAAAAAGAAATCCGACAATGTCATCTCGAAAAATTGTTATCTTACATACGACCGGTCGAATCAGAGTCCGAGTAATCTTCAAATTAATCCCTTTCTGTATCGCTTCTACTCTCTTTCTTCAAAGTCATATTTCCAAGTTGGCCAGCAAGCTCATTTGGACTTGAGCGGAACATTTCTTCAAGCTCTTTGCGATGATTCATTTGCTCTATTTGGGAAAGAGCGGTCTCGTTGATCCTGTGGATTGCTTTCTCCCTCTCTTCGGGTTCACCCGCGTAGCAGTAAAATTTCTCAGAACTTGAACAAAAGACATGGTCAAAGCTGCACGTTTCTTCTTTGCCAAGCTCCAATAATTTTACTGACCTTGCGATGGCGCTGCCAATCGGAAGATCGTCCAATTTTTTTTTCTTTTCAGTCGGCGCGTTCTCCTTAACAAGGCGTCGAGCTATTTCAAAAAGCAAAAGAATGTAGACTTCATAGGTGGCTTGTGGATCATTTTCAAGTACCACTGAGTTGTCCTGAAATAAGCTCTTGATATGCTGTGCGAATAATTGTGTGTTTCCATCGTATTTGCTCTCCAATTCTGCGTTCAACTTTTCGTAAGTTAGTCCTATTCCTAGCCCCCGAGACACTCTGGCATTGCCAGGTTGGTTTATGAAAGGGTATGGTGCAAATTTGAAGAACTTCTCTCCATTGTCATCCTGCCTAGGCCCATGGCTGTTTAAAAGCAAGTAAAAGGTCTTGCCTTTCTTAAACTCCTGCCGGTCGTTTACGATACGAGAGAGGAGTGCGACAACCTTTTCAGCATCAAATCCTGTTATATCATAGACATGACCTTCGAGCTTTCTCAAATTTTGGGGCCTTTTATCCTCCCGAACTGGCTTAGACACATCTTCGGGGAGGTTTTCACGAAAGAATTTTCCACAGGCTATTTTTTGTTTTTTGAAAACCGCGTCAGCGTTGGATTTTTCCATTTCGATGTGAATCTTTGAAATGCCACTGTTGAATCCGTTCCACTGGCTTCTCAGTTCTCTTGACTCATGTGATTAACTCGATGGACAACAATACACTTAAGCAGATTGACTGACGTAGACTAAGAACACGTGCGGAACTTCATAAGCACTCAATGATTGGCTCCAGCTGGAGCCAGCACGTGTCTTGTAGCAAAGGGAATATTTCGCTTTATTGTGAAACCGAAAGTGCTGTGTAATGATATGCTTCCTTGAAACCTGTTCAGCTTGATTAACTACTAAGTTTTCTCGTAAGTTGGTGGAGATGCCTTGATAAATCGATTTGTTCTATTCATTCTTTTCAGTGAATCAGGAAAAATTACTTCACAACGGAATCCGAAAAAACATTTCATGAAAATTTACTTTAAATTTAAATTTACTTTGGATCACCGTCCCGTATTAGACGCCTTACGTCTTGAGAAGCTAACAAAAACAAAATTCTACAACGTCTTTAGCCATAAGCCAAAGGTTGATTGGAAGATTCAGGCTTTTCCCGATCACAAGTACTCATCTATAGATTAAAAACCTGAAGAATTACAAGTACTAATATTCAAGAGTCAAACGTCAAACAATTATAAATACGTCATTGAGAAGGTTCTACAGTGAATATCTTGAATATCTAGAATATCCCTTGCCATTGTGGTCAGCGTTTGAGTCGGTAAGCACTCATTTACCGTCTTCGCTAATGTATTTGAATACCGGAAAACAGGCAAAGGAATATTACTAGTGCTGTCGGTGTTCCGCAACTGGAATCTAGGATATTTATTTTGTCACGACCTCCAACCGGTTTTGATTAATTGGAAAAAAAAAGAATTTGCATATTGATCCTGCGGCAGTTTCTTATCAAAGGCTTTGATCGGTGGAAATTCAAAAGTTATCGTCTTTGCTTTGCTAAATAAAAATTCGTAAAACGTTTCTTACTCCTGTTGATCCTGATGAATCCAAGTGGTCTTCAGATGAAGAAGATTCTGCATCGAGCAAAGACTTAATCGATAAATAATTCTCAGTCTTTTTCTCAGATCCTGAAGTTGTTTTGCTAGCACGGCTCCTTGTCGTTTTTCGGAGCAGAACGTTTCTTTGAGCTCTTTTAGGTGAGGAGTGAAATGACTGAGGAGTGCGATGACTCTAAGGTGTTAGCCTTTTGTTTCAAGTGTTCACCTACGCCGCTCTTCTACGCAAACATATACTTTAAGGTCTTTGTATTCAATGTTGTTGGTTTTCTTTTTTATGTCATTGGCACTTACCACTTGGGGATTGTTTCCTCCCAGATTCGAGAAAAATGCTATCAAAACTCGACCTATTCTGGCTGATGATAATTCCTGAGGCTCGTACTTAACGACTTTTGCGACAACAGGGTCAAAATAGATACGAGAGCTGTAAGACGAGCATTAATAAATTAATCTCCTCTATGTACTAGAAAACTGGAAACACCTTCATGCAGGGATGTATTCTGAAACGTGGTCTATATCTTAGCAGGTTTTCCTAATTTTTCTTTCAGTGGTGAAAGCGATCGTGATGTTTTCAACGAAAAACCTTCCAGAGAAGAGATTCTTGCAGCTACTCAGGCAAGTGACGTCTTAGGTGCATGCAGCTCCGATTTTATTTTGAAATTGTTAGGTTAAATCTTCCTTTGAAACATTTCCAATCTGAGTGAATCTTCTCAATCCTTAATCATGTTCATCAAATTTTAGTTGATTATTTTCGTTTTAATGCTCTTCTTGCTGAAAAATAATACTTCTAAGTAATTCTGCTCGTCACTAAAAAACGAAAGAAGAAATAATAGTTTTTCCATCTGATCACCTTCAAAGTCTTTTATCAACAAGGGCGTTAGTTTTCCACACGGCGGATAAAACAGTGCACCAGATCTAGTAGATAATATAGTTCGTTTGGTTATCAGTCAACTAAGATAAGACGATCTTAGCTACCGTAAAAGGATTTTTAGACTCTTTTTTTGTTCTGTTTTGGTTAATTTTTTTAAATTATTATTTTCTTCGTGTTGTTTTGCGTGCGCGAGAAAAGGGTCTGGGAAGCAATTTGCAGGTAGCTTCAAAAGCTCTTTTTACAGTTAATTCTAACGGAAGTTAAAACTCTTGAAATGTGGTTAAAGAATAAAAAAGTTTTTAATCCACAAAACTGACGCTCCTCCTTTGTGTCACTTTAGGGGTCCGAAGGAACAAAGAAACTACCTGAACTGGCCACTCTTCACACAACAATGGGCGACATTACCTTTAAACTGTTTAGCCAAGAGTAAGTCAAATTAATTCTATTTTTGTATTGATTTCAGAGCAGATAAAAGGAAAGTACACTGTTTTAATTCAATTTTTTGTGAAATTATTAATGTCAAGATTAAGACTTGATCTTACATTTCTACTGCTGCACTGCTTGTCTTTGATCACCAAAGAGGAACTGTGTGCACCAATAGGAGCGCGAAAAACGCTCCAATAACAGCTAGCCACCATGCTACGTCGACAATGACCCATACTTATACAGCCGCATCGGTGACGAAGATTTAACCTTACAGCAGCCGAAACGAAACGATCAATGATAGATAACGACAACGCTATCTCGATACCGACCCTTATCGCGAGACCATGTCATCGTCAATTTTCCTGGTTTACTAAGATGAAAAGTAAATACATCTTAGTAAGAGATGTTTTTCGTCTTGTCACGAGCATGGGACACCGTGCTGATCCCAGCAGTATGCAGGAAGAATGTTATATAAACTTCGTAATGGAACTCGCGTAGAGTCACTGTGGCTCAGTTGTAGAGCATCGGAGCCCTTTCCTCCTGGGAACGCAGAATTTTTTTTCTTTGTCCCACGCTCGTGACAAGACGAAAAAAATATTTCTCTATTTCTTTACCGAGCTCAAAACTTACCATCGCTATTTAAATAAATATTTTTCTATTACTGTCATGGTTAATTTTTTTTATCATATTTACGTCCAGGTGTCCCAAAACTGTAGAAAACTTCTCAACCCACAGCGAGAATGGTTACTACAACACGCACATTTTCCACCGTGTTATTCATCAGTTTATGATACAAACTGGTGATCCAGAAGGTAAGAAACGAGTTAACCCTTTAACTCCCGTGAGTGACTAGGACAGAATTTCTCCTTACAATATTAATAAAATATCAACCAGATGAGTGATGAGAATAAAGAAAAAATATCACTTTGGGAATAATAAGTTGATCCAATACTAAATTCTCTGAACCAACAGTATGAGAATTGTATGGTTGACAGTAAGGAGTATCACAAATTTCATCTGGGAGTTAAAGGGTTAGTCTCCATTTCCTCTCAAGCAACAAAAACTTGACCGAGACTTTTATCGAGGAAATTTGCAAGGGGTACAATTTCCCTGAATGTCAATACAGTTCCTTGAGTAGTGTCCTTTTCAAGTTACTTGAGCCAATTTTATCTCGGTTTCCCCGCAGCCATGTGATTCTTTTTGCCTCCTTGTTTCCCGTTTCTGCTCAAAGATCTCAGTGGTGATTCTCCTTACTCACCAAATTATATTTCTCAGCTTTAGTTCTGAGATTTTTGTCTTGAATCATGAAGTATCCCATGGTTGATATTTTTCTTTATTCTCATGACTTTTCTACTTAATAGTGTACGGAAACTGCAAGGAGAAATCATTTATTGGTCAGTTTTGTGAGTTATAGGTTTAAAACTGGCATGTTAGCCTTTGGACAGTGGAACTTCATTGAGGAAAAAAAAGACACCTTTTCCATCCAAATCACGATTTAACTTTTTTCGAGAAATCTGCAAGACTACAACTATATGATTTTATTTTTCTGTAAATCAGGTGATGGCACTGGAGGGGAATCTATCTGGGGTGGTGAGTTTGAAGACGAGTTTCATAGAAACTTGCGACACGATCGACCATTTACAGTAAGCATGGCTAATGCAGGACCGAACACAAACGGCTCGCAGTTCTTCATCACTGTTGTACCAACGGTAAGTACACCAGTGAGAAAACGGAGTTTGAAATCGTTCTTCAGACAATGGTGCGTTCAAAGAAAAGGGGACGACAGATTTTTCACTTAAAACGTTTGCAATTTATTTCACCCATTCAGTTAAGGTTTTCTTTAACTTTGAATTTCAAGGGACAGTAGCCTGCCACGGAGGGGGTAGAGTTTGACACGAGAACAACCATTACAATTTCAAAAAAAAATTTAGAAAGCTGATACTGTGAAGATGATATATGGGTACGCGTTGTAAGAGCTTCTGTGAGGCGGGGAAGCGCGTAACCTTGAAATTTCCTAACCTATCGTATATGGGCCTATACCCAGTGTAGCTCTTTTGACCTTTTGATTGGTCGAGAACACTCGCCTCATCTTTTACCCAACCAATCAGATGCTAAACAAAAATCAAGTCCGACGTGGTATCCCTCGTTTTCCCGCGCTTTAGGCCGTTCGCCTGTTCTGATTGGCTGTTGTGACAACCTCGGTTTTAACACCTTTCTTTTCAAGTACTTTGCACCACTGACTGACAAGAAGTTAATTCGTTTCTTCGTTTCTTCTTGTCACAACAGCCCTGGCTTGACAACAAGCACACTGTGTTCGGCCGCGTCGTTAAAGGAATGGACGTGGTGCAAGAGATTAGTAAGGTGAAAACAAATCCTAAGGACGATAAACCGTACGACGACATCAAGATTATCAACGTTTCTTTGAAAGGCTAAGATGACATCAGTGCTGAGGAAAAAAACGTGAATTGACCACAAATTTACACCCCTCCTTATCATGTTGAACGATATGAAGTCATTGCACTGGTTTTAACGATTCAGGTAAAAAATGGACGGTCCAACAAAATGGAATCAAAAGGATTAATCTTGATGGCGACCGCAATTTTTACAGTTGTAAAATGATTTGTGGAAGGACAAGCAGAAATGCTAGTAAAAAACAACCTGTTGCTAACATAACGTCAAGCCCACGTGACAATTTGTAAAGAACTCCAAACATTTCCGCTCAGTTATAGAGCGATAAGTGGGAGCAAGCATGAAACTCTCCTTGAGACGTCTTTGGGAAGCAACAACGCATCGGTGACCACTTTTTATAAAACGTCTTGTTTTATTCAAGACAAGTCGTGTCTTTTATTAGGAACGATTTTTTGTAAGATACGCTTTTTATAAAATAAATAACATATTCATTCTGACCTATATTCAAGTACAAACATCGTTTCTTTCTTTAGAATTGTCGGTTTTGTTTGTTTTTTTGTTTGTTTTTCATAACATAGCTTCTTCGCTATTAAAATCTGTGATCTTGGCCTTCAAACAACTGCGTTAAAGACGTTGGTAACCTAATTCGTTATAGACCATCCTAAGAACTCTTTTGAAATTTTACAGTTGGCATTCGTGACCACTTAAACACCACAAACTTTTTTTTTTTCATGTCAGACAATAAAACCAACGAGTGCTTAAAAATTCTTTTGCGGTTTTTCCTTGACATTTTAGTGAAATAACTAAAACAGTTTTCATGTAATAGTTACTGGCGCTCACACCTATGTATGGATTGTACGGACACTTACAAGCCACGTAAGTCCAAGAATAACTCATCAAAGCGACTCTGTTTTCAGAGTTTTATTTTTTTAATCCGAATCTGCTTTCCTTTTCTCTTGGGATCCTGCGGAATTATCAACACACCTGATCAACTTGGTCAATATCTGCGCCTGTAGAAATAAAAAATAAATATCGCATAATTTTTTTTTTTGGAAAGTTCTACCACCGTCTAAACATACAGAGTTAGAATTAGAGTTTTTCTCAACCTCACTGCGCTGTAAGAAATTCTGTAACCTCGATGGCTAGTACACCAGTTGAATTGATGACTGATTATGCTCAATTTCCATGCGTGCACGAGTCATTTACGCTTTCCTTAACATTGATACAGTCGTAATATTATTAAACTGCCACCCACCAGGAATGGCGGAGTGACCGCTTGATATGCTTGAACGGGATAAAAAACGCCATTTCATACCACAATTGATTACTAAATGTACAGGTCAAAAGATCATTTACAATGCGTTGAAGACATTTTAAGTCAAAGTAAAGGCGCTAAGCATGGAATGAATTTTACTTGAGAGATTTGTTTTCATTGGAAAAGTTCCGCTCTAAATGACTGTTTAATACATGGATAAACAATACTATAGGCCTTTGGGACTCATTCAAGGGCAGCAACCGCTTGATCGAGGTGAAATCAAGACAAAGATGGGTTTACGTCAAGTGTATTGCTAAATCGTAAATTAAATTACATATTAATATTGTGTAGTGCTTCAGAAATATTGTTTTGGTAGTAAATTAGAGTTTGTGTCATGGTCTCTGGTCGAGCCTTTCACGTTGCAGGTTTTGAAGATCAGAAACTTTTTTTTTAGAACCCGCGACCTTTAAAAACTTGCGACTGAAAGCTGCGACTCTGAAGGCGTGACGCGCAACCATAAGTCAAGCTCAGTAAATTACACTGCAATTTGATTATTTATAAATTTCGCTGTCCGCAACAAACCTAAACCTTCATGTGATTGTCTTCGCAGGAATTTGTTTTCCTTAAAATTTATGAGATCTGTATTTCGATATATTTAAGTTAAGTAGTTATTTCACGCGAAGGAGAAGCTGTGATGATGAGCTGAAATGATAACATAATCAATCCGTGAATGTTGAGAAGCCCCTAATTTGTGGTTGCCTCTCTTAGTTAGATCATGATTAACATTTCAGACATATTTTAAGAGTCCACGGTTTTCTGAGTCAAAGGCAGACTGAATTGACCGATACACTCCTCTTTAAAGAATAATAAATATTTTAAAATATCAGGCACGCACACCGAAAGAAGTAATTGCGCAAACGAAGGAAGAAGGATAAGAAAATTAGTAGAAAAGATTGACTGAAATTCTATTTGTGACGATATGGTAGAGTTGAAATCTTCTTTCTCTAGAAAATTACTTTTAAAATATTTGCGAGTAGAAAAAAGGAGGAGCTAGGGACAAGTCAGGCAAGTCGTCAATCACACGTGAAGAGAAAGCCGCGCGTTTCGAGATGTTCACGCGTGTCTAAACAACATCTAAATTATCTTTATTCTATCGTACCATCACAAGACATGGAGGCATCAGAAAACCCTTCGCTTCAAACAGTAGGCCCTGATCCAATGTTGTTTCGTACAGCATCGAAGAAAAACAGATTTTACATATTTTCAAGCAGGAAACCTGATTTGAGGTGAGTCTTTTCCCATCAGTTATAAAGACAAATAAGTGCATGTATTAAAATGTACCGTATTTATTCGCCTATAAGCCGAGCGATTTTTCCAATAAATTAAACTGAGAACAGGTAAATTCTCGCCAAGGTAGGGGGTTCGGCTTATAGCCGAGTATTTTCGCCAAAAAAAATTTACGGGTGCTTAACAAGATTCGAAATTCAATGTTTATTCGACTATAAGCCGAGCGATTATCAACAAACACAAATTTCCGAGATCACGAAAGGTAGGTACATGTAAATCATTGTTGGTCATTGACTTTAATTTATGTGGTGGCTCCTTAAGGAGCCGTTTTGTTTGTGAAGTTGAAGTTTCGTCGTCGTAGATGGCGTCGTCTTCTGTTCCATCGAGAGCGTTTGAGATCCCGCACGTTTTGAACGATCTTCTCACCATCTCTTCCGGAATCTCTTCCCATGACTGCTTCACCCAACGAAGGACCAGGTTTTTCGACGGGGCCTTCTTCTTTCCCGCTGGCGTGTACTCGAAGGGACCTGTCATCATCCAGTTAAGGTACTTTCGCCGCATGTTGTCCTTGAATGGTTTGTTGAGGTTTCTTTTTTTTTCTGTTAGAAGGAACGTGGACTTGGTTTCTTTTTTTTTTCTGTTAGAAGGAACGTGGACTTGGTTTCTTTTTTTTTTCTGTTAGAAGGAACGTGGACTTGGTTTCTTTTTTTTTTTTTTGTTAGAAGGAACGTGGACTTGGTTTCTTTTTTTTTCCTATTAGAAGGAACGTGGACTTGGTTTCTTTTTTTTTCCTGTTAGAAGGAACGTGGACTTGGTTTCTTTTTTTTTCCTGTTAGAAGGAACGTGGACTTGGTTTCTTTTTTTTCCTGTTAGAAGGAACGTGGACTTGGTTTCTTTTTTTTTTCCTATTAGAAGGAACGTGGACTTGGTTTCTTTTTTTTTCTGTTAGAAGGAACGTGGACTTGGTTTCTTTTTTTTTCCTGTTAGAAGGAACGTGGACTTGGTTTCTTTTTTTTTTCTGTTAGAAGGAACGTGGACTTGGTTTCTTTTTTTTTCTTTTAGAAGGAACGGGGACTTGGTTTCTTTTTTTTTTTAGAAGGAACGTGGACTTGGTTTCTTTTTTTTTTTTCTGTTAGAAGGAACGTGGACTTGGTTTCTTTTTTTTTTTTCTATTAGAAGGAACGTGGACTTGGTTTCTTTTTTTTCTGTTAGAAGGAACGTGGACTTGGTTTTAGAAGGAACGTTTTTTTTTTTTTTCTGTTAGAAGGAACGTGGACTTGGTTTCTTTTTTTTTTCTGTTAGAAGGAACGTGGACTTGGTTTCTTTTTTTTCCTGTTAGAAGGAACGTGGACTTGGTTTCTTTTTTTTTTCTGTTAGAAGGAACGTGGACTTGGTTTCTTTTTTTTTTCTGTTAGAAGGAACGTGGACTTGGTTTCTTTTTTTTTTTTGTTAGAAGGAACGTGGACTTGGTTTCTTTTTTTTTTTTTTAGAAGGAACGGGGACTTGGTTTTTTTTTTTTTTTTTAGAAGGAACGTGGACTTGTTTTTTTTTTTTTTCTGTTAGAAGGAACGTGGACTTGGTTTCTTTTTTTTTTCTGTTAGAAGGAACGTGGACTTGGTTTCTTTTTTTTTCCTGTTAGAAGGAACGTGGACTTGGTTTCTTTTTTTTTTCTGTTAGAAGGAACGTGGACTTGGTTTCTTTTTTTTTCTGTTAGAAGGAACGGGGGCTTGGTTTCTTTTTTTTTTTTTTTCTGTTAGAAGGAACGTGGACTTGGTTTCTTTTTTTTTTTTTTTCTGTTAGAAGGAACGTGGACTTGGTTTCTTTTTTTTTTTCTGTTAGAAGGAACGTGGACTTGGTTTTTTTTTTTTTTTTCTGTTAGAAGGAACGTGGACTTGGTTTCTTTTTTTTTTTTGTTAGAAGGAACGTGGACTTGGTTTCTTTTTTTTTTGTTAGAAGGAACGTGGACTTGGTTTCTTTTTTTTTTTCTGTTAGAAGGAACGTGGACTTGGTTTCTTTTTTTTTCTGTTAGAAGGAACGTGGACTTGGTTTCTTTTTTTTTCTGTTAGAAGGAACGTGGACTTGGTTTCTTTTTTTTTTCTGTTAGAAGGAACGTGGACTTGGTTTCTTTTTTTTTTCTGTTAGAAGGAACGTGGACTTGGTTTCTTTTTTTTTCTGTTAGAAGGAACGTGGACTTGGTTTCTTTTTTTTTCTGTTAGAAGGAACGGGGACTTGGTTTTTTTTTTTTTTTTTTTTTTTTTTCTGTTAGAAGGAACGTGGACTTGGTTTTTTTTTTTTTCTGTTAGAAGGAACGTGGTTTTGGTTTTTTTTTTTTCTGTTTGAAGGAACGTGGGCTTGGTTTTTTTTTTTTTTCTGTTAGAAGGAACGTGGACTTGGTTTCTTTTTTTTTTCTGTTAGAAGGAACGTGGACTTGGTTTCTTTTTTTTTTTTTCTGTTAGAAGGAACGTGGACTTGGTTTCTTTTT